AATTGGTTTAGAAGCGTTTTGGAGCGAAAGATTTTTTATTTGATTAACGTTCGATTAAATGAGAATCTTAATCGGTCGAATTTAATCGTTTAATGTCATCTGGTGTGTTGTAAAACAATGTACATGTATTATACGTGAATTTTTTGTAGTTATTCTATTGTAATAATACAATACCTGTAAGATGTTTTCTCCCGTTGATATCCGCACCACGTGGTATATTCCCAATACCTAGAGAAATCGTGTAGTAAATGTTACACAATATTCGGGTTCTAAGTGATAAATATTTTTATTTCCTTAATTTATACTTGTTAAACTAATTAAATAATCAAACCGATTAATCAAATAACTCAAAAAATCGCAATAATGAAATATTTAAATAAATTAATCAAACCAATCAATTAAAATAATGAAATAATTAAATCAATGATTATGTGAGAAAAAAAGTGCGTTGTAAGTAAATTCAACGCAAACCGTGAAAGAATCCTCTGTTCTCTATTCTGCCCGTGATGCAATGAGGGTCTTAGAGATCAAGCGTTCTCATTTATATATATATATATATATATATATTTATATTATATATATATATATATATATATATATATATATATATATATATATATATTCCTGTTCTCTCTCCCTCCCTATGTCGGTCTTTGTGACTCTGTCTTCATGTCTCCCTCTCTGTCACTGTTTCTGTCTGTCTGTCTTTCTCTCTCTGTCTGTATATCTCTCTCTCTCTCTGTCTCTCTCTCTCTCTATCTATCTATCTATCTATCTATCTATCTATCTATCTCTCTATCTATCTAGAAGCACCGGATAAGCAAAAATGTAATAGAATGTTCACGAAGATCTCATCCTGTAGATTACAGTATGAGAAACGTTTCTTTGAGACCTTTGGCCGCAAAAGTTATTTAACGATATAGATTCAAAAAAATCCTGCTTAGTGAGTTGCGGATTGCAGTTGACTTGAATTTTTTGTTTTGTTCTACAGCGCCATCTAGTGAATTTTTACGATATTTTGATTGTTATTTTGCTATTCGGGGCGGAGATGAATCCAACAAATCAAAGATAATTAAAATTGGTCCAGCCGCTCTTGAGTTATGATGTATTCTGTAACTAACTCGACTTTGTTTAATTTATATGATCATTGGCAAAAAGTAATGGTTTTCAACACCTCTATAGCCCGAGAAAGTTTGAAATATTTATTCTAATTTTGTAGACAGTGCCAAATAAAAATTCTGTAGATTTGCTTCTCCAAATAAACATATTTTCCGTGATATATTAAGTGAATTTATTATCTGATAAGTGGTAGAAGGGCATGGTAATAATGAACGATCATGATTTCAAATGACTTTTTCCCTTGCGGAATTTTTTAACCTTATGTCATTATTCTTTGGGAATATTTCAAATCCATCAACACTTCAAAAGAGATTTGCTTGCAAAAAATCTTTCTCGCCTCCTGGTGGGATTTATACGAACATTTTCCCGTTCTCCACCAGTCAAGTAGAAGCGTCTGATCTCGGGAAGAGTTGTTTGGAGCCCGGGGAGAGATAGCGCAGGTCCTCGCGAGTTCATATTTGATGCCCGTCCATCTATTTCCTTTCTGCGTGCCATTAGTAGTTGGCAGCGGTTGAAACACATGCATTCACCGCTCTGCGAACTGACATATCGGGGACGCTTCCTTCTCGTTTTTTGTTTTTTGTTTTTCGTGCCACTCAGTTCTAGTCGTGGTTTGTGGGCCGAGCAGAAAGTAGGATAAAGGCGCTGCGAAGTTGATGTGTGGAATTGAGAAATAAAATGTGGAATGCCTGGTTATTTGGCAGCATTTGTGAGGCTGGTTCTGCTCTCAATATAACTGTATATTATACAGCGTATAATTAACGTTAAATGTTATATAAATTCCCCCTTGGCAATTTGTCTGATGTGTTTGGAAAAGCCAATGAAAATAAGAGCCTAAATGTGATAACGGTTGTTATATTTTAATCGTAATAAAACGAAATAGAGTGAAAAGACCGAAATAATATTTTTGTTTCTTGTTTCTGTTTTATTAAGTGATATTTAAATACTGCCTGTACCGTGTTTCATACTATTTGAGACGATAAAATTTGTGTCGCATTATTTATTGAATAAAGCAGGTTTCCTGAGCGAAATTCGGAATAATATTATTTAAACATTTTCCAGTATTTGCTTCGTAAAAAAGTAGTAATTTAGTATCTGCTGGATTCCTGCTCTTTTCAGAAACGTCTACGTCCTGGCTAAGTGCAGTAACAGGCCCGTGACTTAGAATGAGTCGGGTGCCTCCTCCTAACTTGGGTGCCATCCAGTGCTGGATCAGGCAGTTGGGATCGAGTGGAGAAGCATGAGCGCCGTGCTCCTCCCCAAGGCTTAGAGTTTTCGTTTGTTATAATATAACAATATCATTCATTATACAAATAATATTCAATACAACAACTGTTTATTATTTAACAAAATGTATATTCTCCCCTCCAAAATAATTGGCAGGATCCGCCCCTGTGTTCAAAATATAGGTGAACGTTTCTTCCGGCATTATGTTGAGACCATGGAGATATCATGAGTACGAAATACTTTCAGATGTGATAAACATATTTTGTCTCCAGTATTTTTACTGATTCTTTTTGCTTTCGAATTATGTTTCTTGACAACGACGTTGGAGAAATGTTTTTCACTCCTAATATTATGTCAACGATTGATAGATTGACTTAAATACCAGACGCTGCGATCTCAATCCATCCATCTTAATTTACTGTCTGGCAGAATGCAAAGTTGTACTACTTTAAATAGCCAATTACATCTCCTTTTTCAAATCCAATGCATCGCATCTACGCCTTCCTCAGAAGGACGTGCCTCCTTACTGCCGAGGCAAAATGCTCCATGAGAGCCTCGTGTACGATGTCGAAAGTGCGCAGCCCCTCGCCCCTCGGTGCTCTGCTCGAGGCCTCGCGGCCCGGAAGAGTGGCTCAGGGCATCTACTGATGGCACTGAAGGCCCTTTGCCCGGGAGATCCTACCCGACAGTGACAGGAGTTTCGACACAGGCTTGTCAGCTAGATCGGATTCAGTCCCTGTCTGGAGGAGAATTCTCCCTGCCGGCTGCTCTGATTGGTAGTTTTCCGTGATTTCTCCGATCAAATACTAGGCGAATGCCGAAGAATTACCCTAACAAAAGGGCCACAGACCGCGCGCCAGCTTACCTTCCTCTTCCTTGTTCTATCCTCATCCCGTACACACACATTAATGTGCACTTCACTTACACTGTTCCCCCGCAGGTGGGACATCCTTGGTTGGGTGGCCGGCGGTAGGTAGGCAGCGGATCGTCTCCCCCCCCCCAGGAGCAAAGACATACACTACACTTGCGTGACAAATGACCCTGGCTTCCCCGGAGTCACTAACAATCAATCAATCGAAAGACCGAAAATGAAGAAAATCAAAAACCGAGAAGGTTTTTAATGGGAAGATATATTCCAGCTTGAAAGCACATTATTATCTAGTTATGTTTTCTGCAAATATATTTTGGGTTCATTGATTATTTTGAATGTACAAACACTTACTCTGACGTACAGATTCGCAGTCAATAACATCATTTTTCGTGCCTGTCAAAGGTACTGTAATTGGAATTTGTAAACATCAATACTTTTTAATTTGTAAACTGTACTCGCCCCAAAAATATTTTACCACCATCGACAGGTAGGGTAAGCCAAACCGCCAATTCCCAGCTTGCCAGAACAACGATGTAACAACAAAGACTCGACAAAAGAAATGTAAGTTCCCATGTCTAGACGAATGGAGGAGTTGATGCACTCCTGGAAGAAAACTAAACTCGAAGGACTGTTACTCGTACCACACTGAGGCTGTCGCGGAGCACCGATTTGGGACACTACTCAAGAAAGAACGTCGAACTTTGAATGCCGTGAAAGAGTAAGCAGGCAGAATTCGAGTCTGCCTTCCAAGCCACCACAGCCCGATGTGGGCCAGGGCTGCCTGGCAGGTAGAGCTCATTTGCGCAGTTAAAGTATCTCCGGAATTTCGATTATCGAAAAAGAGAGAAGTTTTTTTTTTCATATTCGGGTATTTTAGTAGGAAGAAAAGATGAGATGGCTGATCTCATAACGATATTTCTATGTTTTATTTTCTCGAGCTCATCTGTCGTACCGACCACAACGACGAACTTACTAATGAAACCAATGAACCAAATTTCATAAATCGTAATTTTTATTGGAACTGATGATCTAACATTCTAAATGATCGACGACTACCTCCAGATCTGTTTGATACAATGCCATTTTATTACAGAGTGACAGTGATTTTATTACAGAATTACAGAGTTCAAATTCCAAACACAATCGGTATATAGAATACATTTCGTATTCGTCTTTCCAATAATTACCAATTGCTTCTTAACGCCCGTAGCTTTTTGTTACCCCATTTGCACATTATTTTACTGAAGAATTTTTATTATTTCTTTTGCAGGTAAGCTGATTAATTATGTACCTTAATAAGGAGACACATCGCATAAGGGTGAGTTTAGTTATTAGAGCAACATCTTTATCATTTGTATGTATTATATTCTACTATATTCCTGTACTTCGCATTTTAAAAACGTGTCAGCTTTTGAACACAGCTTTTCAGGACATCATAAAATAATCATGCACTCTCCTTTTAGTGCCAATGAACAATATCTTACAGCCAGTCTTTAATGAATGCATGCATAAGTAGCTCGTTTGTAGAGCCCCGCTAAATAGTAGCAACATATTTTTTAACAACATTTTATGAATATTGAAAATATTTTAATACTCATTTTTAATTCAAATATTGTATTTCATTTTAACAAGAATTTTGCTCCCATCGGTTCAGTGTTTTAAAGTTATTAAAGGATTCAGATGTTTGTCCATAATTAGGGCCCCTTGCGTCAGGAATCCGGCACTTCGCTGGTGAATAACAGTTTGTTATTCATGAAGATTTCTTATATGAGAACGAAAAAGACTTACATGCCCGTAAAAAGCCCTTAAGTTTTGAATTTTCCTTCAGGCAACGACTGAATTCGGTCTGGCTATGTACCTATGTCCCTAAAATCCTACCATCGTCGGTACTGGAACCCAAAAGACCTCCCAGTCAGAGGCACTGCAGCGACATCAATTGATGTCCTCGAATTGAAGATTGGCTAGGAGGCTGGCGCTTCCAGACCAATGAGGAGCTTCAAAGCAACATTTGGGCCCATCTCACACCACTGGCGGCAGGTCCATACCGGGAGAGGTGGCTGAGGGCCTTGTGCTCAAAGTGATGTCACTTTAGTGCCTCTGACCGGGAGGTGCTAGGTTCACGACCCGACGGTGGTAGGATTTTCCACACTAGCAAGATAATTCAGCAACTGTGTGGAGGAGAATTCTAGCAGCTGCTCTGATAAGTAGTTTTTCTTGGTTTCCGCAATCAGCACCAGGCGAACGCTGGAGCAGTACCCTAACAATCTTTCCTTCCTCTTCGTTGTCTTATCCTCGCCCCTTACACACACTTACACTAGCATGCACTACATGCCGTACATGCTGGGAGGCGTTCGGGAGCATAGAGCTTGTCCCGCGTGGGGGTGGTGCCCTGCCGATGGGAGATACCTGGTTGGAGAAAACCCCGCTAGCCGACGGGAGGTTGACGTCGGATTTCGCCACCTCCCCACCAAAATATGCACTTCACGTACGGGACAAATGACCTCATAAGTGGACGTGCCCGGAATCACAATTAACCAATTAGCAAAGTTGATTGAAGAGGGGATGGGCAAATGTGTGAGTGACTTTTGAAGAAGCCCTCCGCGCAGCCGAGGGCCCTCGTTCGGCCCCTGGGGTCTCGTGCCTCGCAACTTGAGGCGCCGCTGCCATTGGCTCTTCCGCGTGGAGATGGGCCGCTATTTTTGGCGGCGGCCGCGGGGATGTGCGCTGCGCAGCGCCGCCAACCTGCGCTCGGGGCCATTGGCCGTGTGGCTGCAATGGGCTCAGTGGATTGGGAATGCCTTGAGAAATCGAAAACTATACTTATGTGTACAGAATGTATCCGGTGGTCCAGTAGGAAACGTACTGAACGTCAGTTATAGAATGGTGGGACCAAAGCATCTAAATCAAAGGGTCAAAAAGCGTGCATGTATTGTGTTTATTCCATCAGCACATATTACGTGCCCTGCTCTTTAAAGAATGCGCGGTGTCAGTTTCTTTTATATATAATAGGCATTAACATAAAGATGGCCATGCTGGTAAGTCCAGAATTGAATTAATAAGCAAATTTCTCATTTTTCAGAGGAAATGTTTCTTTTGGTGGAGACTCCCAACTCTTAGACCCGCTACCGACGTTTTAAATATCCCACACGAAAATAGCGTCTTGCAAAAGAATGCCACACTTTACATACGTCTACTTGTTTTTACTTTCTCATTTATTACTACATAGTTGAGACAAAGCTTCATTAACGCTGCAGGAAAATGTGCCGATTAAAGTTTAATAAATAAATTGGGGGCAATTTTTGAGATATTTTTAAAATGTTTTTAAATTTAATGTAAAGTTCCTCAAAAACCAAATATCCTAATGAAACTTCCAAAACCTCAAATTCGTTCAGAACGTTCACGGAATATCAATTTTGAAGAAAATCGGCTGAGTGGTTTAGGACTAGGATTGACCGCAGACGGACGTTTTGCCGTCAAACGTTTTTCAGTGTCAAGGACCCCAACATACCCCGTCTACACAACGTGTTAGAGGAAGTAATTTATTATAGACAGGATCCGGATTTATCCACTTTTTTGTTTCTAGGGTCCGGCAATAATGGGTTTCCTGCCTAACATTCACCGTTCCCCTGCTCACGATTACTTCTTACGAAGCATGTACGAGAAAGTAAACATTTTTTAAATAAGAAAATCCGCCCAAGTGCAAAATTACAAATCGCAAGGGGAGGCAGCAAAATAGTTTTTTGTGCTTAGACCACTTTTACTACTTTTAACAAGTCAAAGGTACGCAGGAGGGGTCTTCCAGAGCACTGCCGCTCTAGAGTTGCACCGGCGGCGCCGGGGGAGGGGGAGAGGTCAGCGGGCACGCCCTCCGCCGCTGCGCGCTTGTTCCATCCGCAGTCAGTCCACGTGGAATTTGTACCACCATCATTCATCTCATCAACATTATTGCAATATCAGTAGAACATTATTCTTGGGCCTGATAATCATAGCTCTAAACCCAAATAAATAAATACGAAAGTAAAGTATACTGAGGTTTGGGCGTCTGGAACCAATTGTAATATTCCACGAAGCAATAAATACATACATGATTAATTTTCACCCCTACATAACGCCTAGTGAAGAACAAAAGCCATTTTCACTCATAAAAGTTAATGGTAATGTAGAAAATATCCTCCACAAATCTTGTAGTTAGTATTATTGGACATTCATTTATGTTTTTCCATTTTCGCAATGTTCACGTTTAATCTGCACGAATTACATTCTATTGCCTTATTATTTTTACGTCGATATTTGAATCGTACTTTCAGTGGAATGAAGCGTCCCGATTCTCTTGGTTTCAAGGAATTGGAAATGAGAATACGTTTCTTCATGGTAAGCTATGGTTTAATGATAGAAAACGATGTTAGAACTTGGTATGTCACTTTCACTCCAAGGTCTGATCTCAAAAATCAAAATAACATCCTATCTGCCTGATCATATACTTTGGATTTCACTTCCATTACCTCTGGAAAATGTCTTAAATTACCAAACACAGTTATTTCACTAATATTCGGGTTTCTTCACGGAGATTTGTTACATCACGAATACCAGCACGAAACCATTGCGTGCTGTGTATTTCCTGCACTGGGCGCCCTTGCATGTGGAGAGGCAAGTTTTCGGGCGATGTCTGCTTCGCGCCATGGTTACATTCGCCGCATAGCATGATGGCCAAGCAAGGGAGTTCAAGGCGTTTCTTAGGAAGATTCTGGAAGCTGAAAAACGTGAAAAGACGCAGAAACAACAACGTAGTACAGGGAATAATTTTAATTTTAATGTAGAGTGCGCTTTTTCATTTGAACTCGAGACAAAATCATGTAAATATCAAAAATTCGAATTGATAAAAGTACAAATTATGTTTTTGAAACTCAACTGATGTACAGTTGTCTAAAAGTAATCAGTGTTTCTTGCCATCCTAACGGATATTATCAGTATGATCGAAAATATATAAATTTAATTCGCGTAAAATCACGTTAAAACTCACACGATCACTTAACAAATTGGCTCAAAATTATATTACGACTTACATTACTTTTTAATGCGAAAATGTACAGCCTACGTGAAAACAATCCTAATTTTGTTGACAGAGGGTTACGAGTTACTTGTTTCTTTCATTTTCGATGCATGAAAACGTATTTCACTTCTTAGAAAATTCACTTCTTAGAATACATCAAGAAATTTCATTTTCAAGAAATTTTAAAATTTCTTTGAACATAAAAAAGTTGTCTCCAAATCATTTGGAACTGACATTAGAAAATTCGAATTACAGAAACACGTTTATCGTACTTATTATGATTGAAATAAAATTTGAAGGGGAAATGTTTCTTTAAAGTAACCAATTATTTTAATTACCTAATATCAAATTAATTGAAACCATTCTATATTTGAAAATATAGAGTACTGATATGTAAGTACAATCACTCTGTATTGGTATGGAAATTGAGTTGTACGTGATAAATCATATCTAGGGCTAGAAATCATCCTGAATCTTCTTTAATTCCCTTGCGCAGGGTATACTTCCTAACTATCTATAAGATATTGCTTCACATCAGTTCGAATCCTTCAATCTTTCTGATGACGTTCAACTCGCCGGGATACGATATGTCGCATCCGAGGAATGTAAAGGTAATAACTTGGATTATTACCGTTTCTTGCAAAACGAGTTTACATCTTAGTGACTGGAAGAAGTTCTTGAGGATATTTGTACATTATACTTTGTTATTTTACATAGTTCTAATAAGACACTCTATAAGTTACCTTCGTTGACGGCGACTAGAACTTAGTCATCAGCAAAAAATAGTTTTAAAGATGTCTACAATATTAATATATAAACTGTTTCTTGCACTCCCGCTCATATTTGTCAAGATACAAAACGAAGTATCTGCGCGCGCGACATAGAGCGACCTTGTATAATGCCTTTATTTATGGTTTCCTCTGGAGTCGCTCCAGATTTTAATTTTACATTAATCTGCGTACATAAATATATATTTTGGATTGTTCTAATTAGATGGAGTTGCCTCCATAACCATCCATAATTTACTTCTATGAACACTATGCAAACAATACGTACATTAGTAATGTTAGAAGTAATAATAATAAAAATATAGTAATGAGAGTATTAATAATATTAACAATAATAACGAAGATGCATGTATGTATTTGGATTTTTAACGGCGAATTAATCCAACTTTCGCCAGCTAGCGGCCATGTCTTTTTATTCATTATCCAGACCTGGGGTCACTA